CGTTTAACCATCATCTTCGTCTTTGATATGAGATCACATAAGGAGTTTGCGAACAATACTTTTTATCGAATTGAAGACCACGGATTTTAAAATTTAGACTGCTATTATGTAAATGCGAATTGTAATGCGTATCAAGTTTTGTTATGTTCTTTAATTTTATGTTAAGCACGAATTAATTTATTGTAACATTGAAAATGACTCGTTCGGGGTCGAAACGTTTGTTATTCAAATAATAAATTTGTTAAATTAATAAATACATATTGGAGCGATATAACACCCAAGCTTTGGCTCGTTGGCCCCTTTTTTACTTCTTTTATTAAGAAAAGCATTTATATGTTTGAATTTTTCATATTTAATCCTCTGCAAATAGCATTTTGTTGTATTAAATTTTTTTTACTGATTTTACTTTTAAAAAATAATTTGTAAGTGAAGAATATATTGGCTGCAGTCCAATTTACACTTGCAGCGCTCATGATCATCATTTGTCTTTATTTAATATTTGATTATTGACAAGGATAAAAGTATTTCAAAAGCATTGTGAGCCTGAATCGGACCGCAACCATTGAAATATATTGTACTGATTTATATTTTTTTACAAACTTACTGAAGAATTTTTTACTCAAAAAGTAAGAAATTTTACGTTTTATAAAAATTTTTCTTGTAGAACATATTATATAAATATATATCGATATATATTGATGCTTTTTCAATGATAAGGAGCTCTATATTTTAATGTTTAATGCTACACACATTTTTTCAATTTTTAAGTGTAGTGTTTTAACCAATCTGCACAGATCCCACATTTCTTTTTAAAGTGAATATTACAAAAATACATTCATCTTAGAAGGTTAAAGAATATTTGAAAAATACATTTGGTTTATTATTTTTTTGCAGATTTTACTGTGTGGTCTAATAAATTGTTTCTATTAATTATGATTAATGAAAAAAATATTGTACTAAATATTTTGCATTTGCGGCATCTTTTTTTATATTTTACATTTTTATATATTTGAGAGATTGTTTTGTTTTAGTCAAAGTCAATAATGTTTGACGTCTTTTTAAATTATAGCGAAGAATCTAGAGTGCATGTGGACGAGATCTTCTCGCAGGTGGAACGACTTAAGATAGAAGAAAAGTTATTATTGTACCTGAAACTTCCGTTATTGCTGACAAATTCAAGTGGGACCGTCGATCCATTGAGGCAGCCACTAAATCCATTAGGAAATCGTTACGAAATTCATCAGACCATTATGTGGATTAAGACTCATTTAGAAGAAGATCCGGATGTATCTTTACCGAAACAAGAAGTGTACGATGAATACAAGTAAGTTGTTTGTTGTATGTACAGGACGTAGAAGACTAGAGAGAAATTTAAAATTATTCATCCTTGTAATCACAATTGGTTAAAATCATTTGATTTTCAAGTCAGTCTTTTTATTCAACTAAAATTTGCTTACAATATTTTACTCGTGTAATTGTCAATATTTTCTTTAATCTCAGCGAGAAATTAAATTAATTGAAGAATCTATTATCCATTCATAGTAAAATTACAGATATTGATTTGATTGTTTATGAATATATTAATGTCTTCTAATAACTTTTTAAGAACATTTTTTACAGATATTGCATGTGATTTTTATTTTTAGCATGTATTGTATAAGACTAGTAGAAGATTAGAGAGAAATTTAAAATTATTTATCCCTGTAATCACAATTGATTGAAATTATTTGATTTCAAGTCAAGATTCTTTTTTTTTTTTTTAGCTGAAATCTATTTACGATATTTTACTGGTGTAATTCTCAGTATTTTCTTTAATCTCAGCGAGAAATTAAATTAATTGAAGAATCTATTATCCATTCATAGTAAAACTACAGATATTGATTTGATTTTTTATGAATATATTAATGTCTTCTAATAACTTTTTAAGAACATTTCTTATAGATGTTGCATATGATTTTTATTTTTAGCATGTATTGTATAAGAAATTCTATGAAGCCGTTATCGACGGCCGACTTTGGAAAAGTTATGAAACAAGTATATCCGCGAGTGCGTCCTCGTAGGCTGGGCACACGGGGCAATTCTCGCTACTGTTACGCTGGTATGCGCAAGCGAATTAAATTGGATCCTCCGACACTGCCAAAGATATGTGACTCTCAAACTGTGAGCAACAAATAAATAATATATTTTATAATTTTTGCATAAAATATTTTATTTATAAATATATTAATCTTATTCATAAATATATTGATAAAACTTGCTATTTTATTTCAGAGAAATGTTTGAAATTTATTAATGCATTTTCTTTTTCTCTTTCTTTTTTCCTCTTTCTCTCCCTTTCTTAATTTTTTTTATTTGCTCTTTAAATTTAAAGCGTTGTGCTCGTTATATCAATATTTTATGACATGACAATTATTTTATTAGATATGTTTGATTATTATTGTATTTTTCTGTAAATATTCTTTTTTAATTCCTTGTGTAAAAATATAAAATTTTTAATATGTGTAAATATAATACGTAATATTTAATTATTAATAAATTCAGGAAGAACATTCAGAGGGAAATATCACTGAGGAAATGCTAGGCGCTGCATCTACATTGATAAGAGAATGGGCAGAGAAAATGTTGGGCCTGAAATTTCCAAATTTGAGTGCCTTAGCGCGGCATCTTGTTGATAATTTTCATGTCGATACTCGATCTTTGGCTGCTGTATGCATTTCAGCTTCGGAACAGCATGATGCTTCATCTAATAAAGGTGAGCAACATGAATTAGTTGTATAAAATACATCTTTTTCTCTACTTTCTTCCAATTATAATAAAATCAGTAATTCCCAATTTTCAATTGTCAGAGGTTATCACGGATTTACCAACAACACCTGTAAGTGATAAGCCCGCTAAGCTTCGAGAAGCTCAGTTGCAATTGCAACGTAAGCTTCAGCAACGCGAACATATAAAAGATCAGAAGCATCGTTGTCCTGATCCCATTGTACAGGTATATAGCATAATAATAAATTCTAATTTAGTGGACAAAATGAAGACGTGTACTGTGTAGTTAGCCTTTTACTAATCTTAACAAAATGAAAACGTGTAGTTAGCCTTTTGCTAATCTTTTTTTTCATTTTCTACATTTTTGACGCGTTATAATAATAGATTGAAGGCAACATGATATGTTAGTTACATGATATCGTTTTTAGTTTTTTAAATCAAATATCCAAAATATTTAGTTTTAAAAATTTTACTATAAATCTAATCTGAAATTTTTTAATCCTTAATTATGTTATGTATTCTGTTCTCTTTAATTTATGAAATATTAAGTATATCTTTTTATTAATTTTACAATTAAATAATTAGACTTTTTTTAAGAACTTTAGAAATGTACACATTTTTTGGTAAAGTTTTCTATTTTTATTTAAGTTTGACTATTTCTCTTAATAATTAAACATTTAGTAAATAATTTACATTATATTTGTGTTGTAGGTTAACGGAGTTCAAAAAAGTCAATATTTACAGAAAAAATAATAAAAATACATTTGATAAAAATACAATTATTATCATATAAATATAAACATTGATAAACAAATATATAATTTAAAGTATAACAGACCGAAAATTGACAAGAAGGGGGGGGGGAGGGAGATTAATACAAAGAAATTGTAACAATTTTTTTATCATTTTATATTATATTCTTATATTATACATATATACAGGTTGAGGCATTTAAAACCTTTATGGCCACCTGAATAACTTACTTGTTTTTAATGGAAAAAAAGTGTCAAACAAAAGTTGTTTGGTTTCGAGGGAGACATAATAGGCCGGTATTCATAGTCTGTTCTTATTTTAAGAGCGTCTTAAGTAATGTCTTAAGATGCTAATACGGTTCTGTGATTGGCTTATGACATCTTAAGACTATACTTAAGACGGTCTTAAATATAAGAATTGACTATGAATACCGGCGTTAATAAATGATACCATTGGTTTAACCTTAGGTAATATTGTCAAGGTCAGGGAAAGGTCATCTTAAATTTTTTAAATGGAACTTTCCATTTTTTATTGTGTATTCTTGTAACCTAACTCAAGAGTTAGACACTTTTAAAACACTCTAATAAAATATATTTCTATTAAGCACTTTTCAAGTTATAAAGCTTGAAAGTTACAGTACCGCCGGCATTAGCATTATCCAAAGT